TTGGTAATGCCTTTTAATGACTGCTGCTAAATAGGAACAGACATTGCTATATAGGACTATTTGTCTGTGTCCAGATGATATCTTTAGAGGCAAATTAAAGTGCCAGTCTACATTGTGCTATCTTTATGGGTAAACAGGTTATTTGAGTAGTTTTCCTGGTGGAATTGAGTTACACAGTGTTGGTGACTTAGTGCATTCCTATCAATTATTTGTGATATACAAGCAATATGGCTTCACAGTGCCTTGAGATAAGTTAGCTGGATTTTAAAAGTTAAAATTTAACACACTTATAAGTATGTATCCCTATAAAACTGTTAAAATAAACAATGAGTATTTTGGGATTGTAATGCACCTTAGGAGGCCATTCTATTTCAAAATCAGTGACAGCACCTTCTTTGTATCTTTGACACAGAAGGATCCAGCTTTGGGCACAAGGAATGACTTCTGCTCTATGGAAAAGTCAAGTGCCAGGTGCCTCTGACACATCTCAGTAGAAAACACATAAAAGTTCGTGTAAATCCATGGAAAAATTATTGGAAATACATAAAAATATGAATGTAGAGCTCTGAATCATACAGTTGGAGATAACAGATTTAGAAATTATTCCTGTATAGAAAAACTTTCTCAGAGAGAGTTTAGAAGGCATAAAAAAAAAACAGTTATAAAAAGAACCCTGGGGCATGCTAATGTTTAAAGGAAGAATAAAGAAAGTGGAGTCAGGTAAAGACCTTGAGAGAAAGCAATACACGAAGTAAGAGGATAGCACCAAGTCCCAGAAGTGATTACAGGCCCAGAAGCAAGATTGCTTCCACAGAAGTGGTAAATGGAGCCAAATGTGTTAGTGACATTCATCAAGAAAACTTTTGAAAAGTTTCTTTTGGATTTATTTGGTAATTGGTTTTATTGATGACATTGGGCTGAAAAATATTTAACTGAAATAATAAATTATTCTCTGTTGAAATCTAAAATCGTATCAATTTATTCTTTAAGAAAACAAAAAACAAAAGTTACTTTCTTTTTGAGCATTAGTCCATTTCTTGCCTTCAAGGAAGAGGTTCATATTAAAAATATGGTAGTTGTCTGGGGATTTAGCTCAGTGGTTCCGCTGCCTTCCTCAAAAGTGCAAGGTCCCAAGTTTGATCCCTGGTACCAAAAAAAAAAAAAAAAAAAAAAAAATGGTAGCTACTCATGGTCTCAATGGATTTTTCTAAACTTGTGCTATGATCAAAGCACCAATAAAAGAGTGTGATTTGTTGAATTATAGGGAACTGAATTCATTTTGTAGAACTTTTTGCTATGCTATGTTTTGTGAACTAATTTTTCCTAGAATTTTTTTCAGGTGTAGATGAGATGTCTTTCAAATACAGTTTATATAGCCAAGATTTTCTCTGAAAAGTTTTTCAGAGCCTTACTTCATGGGATAAACATTTTCCTAAGATCTTCAGATAAGCTATATTACATCCAGATATTTTAGTCTACCTAATATTATTCCTGGCACAAAACACACATTAAATTATTATTTTCTCCATAGAAACAGCTATATTTTTGTGAAAACATTCACTGAACTGGCAAAAATTTTAGCATAACATGGTCAACATAAAGTTATGTAGATATGTATAATGTTCTTCATATGTAAAAAGCATGTAAATTCTCTTTAAAGTCAGTGATTGCTCCTTATACATGTAAAAAAGAAAAAGTGAATTTAATAGATTCCTTTATAAGTAGAAATGCTACTGTAATTTGTATGAGGAATTTGAGCCTATGGGTAAACTAAATTCTTAACTTTGAGGAATTTAAATTCTTTTCGTACAGTGAAACTATGTTTTTCAGATATGTTACTGTTGTGGAAGGAAAAAAAAAAGAGGGAAATTAGTTCCTCTGGGGCATTTGCAAAAACAGGGAAGTCAAAAATGACCTGATTTTTTCCCTGATAATATCACTATTGGGAATATTGATGGTGGCCCGAACAACATTACTCAGTATGTGATTTCCATTTTCTTCTGGAAGTAGAGGTTATAATAGCAACTGAACTCACAAATTAAATAAATATCCTTAGGCACACCCCATACTTTATTAACAAGGACAGCACAGCTCTTGGTGGTTGTTATGTGGTTCTTACTATAGCTGAAAGATTGCCAAGTCTTCCCCTCCCCAGGAGGAAGCACAGTGAGAACTCAACGTGAAGAACAGAGGTTCAACTCTGCTTCTCCAGTGCAATGATCTGAATGTTTGCCCCCTCCCTTCAAGTGTTGAAATCCTGTCCCATAAGTAATGATACTGGGAAGTGGGAACTTGGGGAAGTGATTAGGCCACAAGAGGGGAACCCTCATAATTGATGTTACTTCCCTTGTGAAAGAGACCCCAGGAGCTACTTCGTCCCTTCCACCATGTGGATGCAAAACATCCATCCATGAACCAAGAGACAGAACTCCACCAGACACCAAATCTTTTGGTGCCTTGATTTGGAACTTTCCAGGAAATAGAGCTTTGAAAAATAAATTTCTATTGTTTATAAGCCACTTACAGCATTTTATAGCAGTTTTACTGTAACAAATATCTAAATATGGAAGTAGGTAAGAAGAGATGGAAGAAGTTTTTTTGTTTGAGAATTTTGTTTGTTTTTGTTTTTTATTGTTTTGGTTTGTTTGTGTTTCTGGCACTGGGAACTGAACCCAGGGACATCACACTGGTTCTAAGTCTTTAAGAGGCTGGAAGAGTTTTGAGGCACATGTAGGAAAAACCTGCATTGCTGCAAATTGGGTAAGGGCAGTTTGGTGATAGTGGAGAGAGAGAGAGAGAGAGAGAGAGAGAGAGAGAGAGAGAGAGAGAGAGAGAGAGGCCCCCAAAGAGAAAGCTTCAATCTTAGAGAATACCCTAGTAATTACAAGTAGAAGGTTCTCAGAAATATGGATGGTAAAGGTCAATCTAATGAACTCTCTGACAAAAATCAGGACTGTGTTATTGGACAGTGGAAGAAAGTCCTTCCTTGTTACAAAGTAGCAGAGAACCTGGCCCTTTCCCATTCTGTTACAATTATTTGTGTTCATGTTTTAGTGTTTTGGGGTAGAAATTGTGAGAGAATTGGATACTTGCTTAAGAAAAGTCTTGGAGGCAGGGCCATCTGGTTCCTTGGCAGCCCAGTCCCTCTCCCACTGTGTCTGGAAGGCAGGACACTGAATCTAAGATTATTCCTGAGACAAACTTCTGTTGGGATTTGCACTTACTTAGGACCTATCAATTACCCCTTTCTTCTTTTCTGTTTCTCCCTTTCCCAATGGGAATATCTATCCTACTCCTGTCCTACCCCATAACTTGTTTGATTTCATAGGTTCCCACCTAGAGGGGAATTTGCCTCAGGATGACTCATAATTTGATCATGCTTAGATCTGATATAGATGGTAGTTAGATGAGACTCTACCAAGTTTAGACTTGATACTTGAGTTAAGCCTTTTGGGGTTAATGAGCTGTAATGATTGGCTGTATTTGCAGGTAAGAAGGGCCTACCTTTTGGGAGGCCACAGGCAGTATGCTATGGTCTGAATATTTGTGTTTCCCTTATATTCATAAGTTGAAATCCTAACCTCAAGGTGATCATATTAGGAGTTGGGAGTTCTAAAGGTCATAAATGTAGAGCTCTCAATATTGAGATTAGTTCCCTTTAGAAAGAGGCCCTGGGCGTAGAGAGTTAACTTGTCCCTTCCACCATGCCAGGACACAGTGAAAAGTTACCCACCGTGACCCAGATAGTGGGGTCCTCATCAGGCAATGAATCTGTGACATCTTGATCTTCAAATTTACAGCCTCCAGAATTGTGAGGACTGTATATTGTTTATCAGTCACCCAATTTATGATATTTTGCTGTAGCAGCCTGAGCAGACTAAGACAACCAGTAACTGGAGGCAGTGCCTCAGGCAAGTGACTGAACCTGAATCTCAATGTCTTCAGCCATGGTACTTTCTTTATGGAGCTGTTAGGAAAAAATGAAGGTAGGCAAGCTCCACAGTAAAGGACAGAGTTTATTGGGGTTAAAATCTGAGAAGGGTCATTTGGCACTAGACCAGACTGGTATCAACTCTTAGGCTAAAGGGGTTTTATAGAGTTGTAAGACGACATAGCAGCTCTCTTGAGTTGGGGTTGCACTGTAACCTTTGACCACCTGGGTGTTGTACCTACCTGTGTTCATATGCTAGGGCTCATCATCTTAACAAGGACCGTAAATCTTGGTCACCTGGTAGAGGTGGCAGTTCTGCTTCTCTCATTCTTCACTTTAACAAAGGGCCCATAAATCTTGAGGCTTGAACTTTTAGTCCTGATCTGACTAAGATGACAATGGTCTAATTCCTTCAGCCACTGTCAAGAATAAAAGCACAGGAAGTGTTCTGTGACATTTTACAAATAATACAAAAATTTTGTTGTACAAACATGAAAAATGAAGCCTGATGAGACTAAAAGTTGGCTAAATTTATAATTTATATAACAGCTTCCCCAAACTTCTGTCCAATGAAACATAATCATGACTCACCAAATCAGCAAATATTTGGATCCTTAATAAGTTTGAACTATAGTATGTACTGTAGGGAAAAAATCAACATAACACAATCTCAAGTTATTGTTTTTTTGGGAGATAATGTGTATAATATAAGAATATAAATGTCACTTCAAAGCAATGTAGTACAAAAGTTTATAATTGTATGGTGATTTGGTAGACATTAGGAATATTTAAGTCAGAAGAGAGTTCTCAATTGGGATACAACCTATTATAACATGACCTATTTGTCATAGTTTCTAAAGACTTGAGGTACTTTATGCAGCAGAGAAATCTATTTGTATAGTCATTTAGAAGTTCTAGGCAAGACAATGTTAAAAATACTTGTTGCAATTATTGTCTATATGATGGATAATATTTAAGAGATGAGAAAATATGTGATGGTTCTAAGGTAATATTTTTATATAATTTGATATGTATTAGCTATATTCAGATGATCTTGGCTCCTTTGTAGTGCTCTGTGACCTGTGGATCTGGAGTTCAGCAAAGAGATGTGTACTGCAGACTGAGAGGCATTGGTCGGGTGGCTGAAGAAATGTGCAATCGGTCCACCCAACCTTATTTTCAGAGGCAATGTTGGCGTCAGGACTGTGTGAAGTACCAGTGGATGGCGGGAGGGTGGCTTGATGTAAGTACTAAAAAGTGAATTTTCAAAGACACTGCATAGAAGAATGAGTTGTTCATTTTGTCATTGCTTTTCTAGTGTTCAACATCATGTAAGAAAAAAGAGACTCATCGGCTAGTGGCATGCATTGATGCACAAAACACAGAAGTGAATGAGAGCTTCTGTGATCCTTCAACCAGACCTCTTTCTGTGAAAAAGTGCAGGAACCTGCCCTGCAAGTATATAGTGGTAACAGGAGACTCAGCACAGGTAAGACAAAACAAGGAAGCAGAGAAATGTTGCTATATAAAATGGGGTCTAAAATCTGAGCCGTTTGAAACTGGGCCTAAAATGTGACAATGGGAGCAGATAAAGGGTATATAAAAGACATATACATCAATCTAAGGAATGAAATCACTGTCAGTTGGGCAGTGGAAATAGAGTACAGTACTAATATAACATGCTGTTAAACTCTAATGGAAGTCTAAAGTATCCATTGTTACCAACTGTGAAACCAGCCACCAAAGAACAATCCTGCAAACTGGCTCTGAATAGTTGCTCAGTTTTGGAAAACAGGTTTTTTGTTGTATAACTGATGGGCAATCAATTGCACATATTTAACGTGTATGGTTTAAGTTCTGACATATGTATGCCTTATTTAAAACCAGTGCTATGTTCAAAATGAAGAGCATCTTCCATTACTCCAGAAAGTTTCCTTGTGCTACTTCATAATCTCTTTGCCCTCTCCCTTTCCCACAAGTAACCTCAACTGTTCTTTATATTAGAGATCTGTCACTAGAATAGTTTACATTTTATAGGATTTTATAAAAATGGAATCACATAATGTATGCTTTTTTTGTCTGATGTAACATGTTTTTCAGGATTGAATGAAGTTATAGTATGTATCAATGGTTTATTCTTTGTTATTGTTGATTAATATTCCACTGTGTGAATACCTTCAAGTTTACTAATCTTTTCTTCTCTGTGCCTGATCCACCTTAAATCCAAATCCAGTCTGTTTTTCACCTCTGACATAATCTTTATTTTTAGGAGTTTGATTTCAGATTCCTTTATATCATCCATGCCTCTACTTTGTTTTTTAAAATTATGAAATAGTTATTAAAACATTTCTTAAAAACATTTTTAGTATCTTTCTGTGCTGTTTCTAACATCTGTGTTTACATGTGTTTACAATTTAGGGAAATTTAGTGTAAGTTTATGCAACCATCACCATGATCTAATTTCAGAACATTTTATCACACCCAGAAGAAAGCTCATACACATTACTGGTCATGGCTCACTCTCCCACTTTCCCATGGCTCAGACAACCCTAACTCCTTCTGTCTCTGTAGATCTTCCTATTCTGAACATTTTGTATAAATGGAGTTATATAACATACGTAGCTGGCTTCTTTCATTTATTATATTTTTAAGGTTCATCTATGTAGCATACATGAGCACTTCATTTCTTTTTAGGTTGAATAGTCTTTCATTTTGCGGATAGACTACATATTGTTCATTCTTAAGTGAGCTGATGGACCTTTGCCAATGGCTATTATGAATCCTAAATTTCTTGTTGAAAATGAATTGAGAAAAATATATTGAATTATTTCTGAATGTACACTTCTATTCCCTTAATATGTGTGTGTGTCTTATTATGGCATTACCACATAATCTTATTTCATTTCTGTACTTTCATAGTAAGTTTTGGAATCAGAAAGTATATATGAATCGACCGTGTTCTTTCTTCTCAAGATTGTTTGGCAATTATGAGTCTCTTACATTTCTATGTGAATTTCAAAACCAGTTTGCCAAATTCTGTGAAAGAACTAGCTGGACTTCTGTTAGAGATTACACTGAATCTTGGTCAGTTTGGAGAACATTGCGATCTTAACAATATGGTTTTCCAATCCATGAACTTGGCATCTCTTTCCTTTCACTTAGGTCTTATTTCTTTCCAAAATGTTTTATAGTTTTCAATGTACAAGTCTTTAACTTCTTAACTTTATTCCTAAATATTGTACTTTATTATATTTATTCTTGTTTAAATAGAATTGTTCTCTTAATTTTATTTTCTGGTTATCCATTGCTAATATATAGGAATAGAATTGATTTTTTTTTTTTGGTACCGGGGATTGAACTCGGGTCCTTGCTCTTGCGGGGCAGGTGGCAGCAACACTGAAATAAATCCCCAGCTAGAATTGATTTTTTATATATGAAACATGTGTAATGGATCTAATTTTGTGTATGTAATATTTGGGGTTTTCTACATACAACATTATATCACTTGTGAATAGATACACAGTACTTTCTCGGTTCACGAATGCTTCTATTTGTGAAGAATTCAGTTCAGTTTGGCAAAATTTTGCTTCCATTCACAAACTCCACATCAAGTGACAAACACGATCACAACCATTTTCCCAGCACAAACACGAATGCAGCTTCCCCAGAATCCTGGAATGAGTTAAGATCATGAACTGAGGTACCACTGTAATTTTATTTCTTTTATAAATCTGGATACCTATTCTTTTTCTTGCCTAATTTCCTTGGACCCTAAAACAACACTGAACAGAAGCAGATGAAAGACATCCTGGGCACATCCCTACTCTTTGTAAAAAAAAAAAAAAAAAAAAAAAAGCCTTCTGATTTCACAATTAAGTTTGTTAACTATAGATTTTTTCATAGATTCACTTTATCAGATTGAGGAAATATCCTTCTATCTAGTTTACTGAGTGTTTTAATCATAAAAATCTGTTAGCTTTTGTCAAATATTTTCTGCATCTATTGAAATGACTGTGAGGTTTTTGTCCATTATTCTATTAGTATAAAACTGACGGATCACCATGTATCAAAACATCCTTGCATTCCTGGGATAAATCTACTTGATCAAGGTGCATAAAACTTTTTATGTGTGGCTCAAGTTTTGTTAGTGTTTTGTTGAGGATCTTTGTGTGTACATTCGTTAGTGGTATTTGTCTGTAGTTTTCCTGTGATATCTTGTCAGGTTTTGGGAAATACTGGCTTCGTAGGACAAATTTGGAAGTCTTTCCTTTCTTCTATCTTTTGTTGAAATTTGGGAAGGTTGGTGTAATTCTTCTTTATATACACCGGGCCCTTATTTGTGTGAAGTTTTAAAAATTACAAATTATCCTCTCTACTTGTGACAAGTCTATTCAAATTTTCCCAAAATTGTTGATGTTCCCATTCGCTATTGTTTGTTTAGTGACTTTTGTGAGCTAAAGTTTATTTTTTTGTGTGACATGTGGTCACTAATGTCTCTGCTAACCTAATTTAGTTGTCAGATGATTAGACAGTAATTTCCTTAAATACTTGGAGGCAAGTTTTAAGAGGTTATGCATGTTTTCATACATGTGTGTGCATCTTCAATACTCAGCCAGGCAATTGACAACTGTTTCTTAACTTTAACTTCCTGCTGCAAGGTCAGTCAGAGGTGAAAGAATAGGCTCTCCTCAGGTATTTCCTAAGCATGTGGACAGCCCTGAACATCTTGTAACCCTATATATATCTATGGCCTTCGACATTCCTACTGATATATTGGAGATCTTAAAAGCCCCTTGGACATCTAATTCTCCAACTTTGTTTAAAAAGCTTTTTTGGCTAGACTGTTGTTGCACCATTATCTACCACCTCTGAAAGTTGCAAAGTTAAACAGTGGCTTCAGTTATGTTGAACAAATGTCTTCACAGCTTTAGCACTGAAAAATCAAGTCAAATAAAGACAACCTTACAACTGTTGCCTTCCATAAAATCACTGAACAGTTGACATAGTGATGGTTCTTTGGGAACGGCTTTGAAGAATGCCTAAGTCTTTTCTGCCCAGGTCAGTGGCTGCCACATTGCTGGTTTTCACCCTTCACTGCAGGACTATTAATTGTTTAGGCTACTACAGAACTGGAAAGGAGATATTGAAAATGTGGTAATTTAAGATACACAAAGCTCGCTCTTCTTACCAAAGTTCAGCTGTGTTTCTTGAATACATGCCTCCTGGTACTCAATCTTTGATTAATCTCCAAAGTTCTAAAAAGTTGGTAAAATAAATTCTGCCAGTTTCCTCACTGCTGTATGGAGAAGAGAATATTTAGATGTCCTTACTTTGCAATTTTCCTTGATGTCATCCCTCTAGTATGTTTTGATTCATGAGTTTTTCTCTTTGTTATGGGTCTGATTTTTCTGCTTTTTTGCATGCTAGTTAATTTTTAATTTTATGTCAAACATCATAAATTTAACCTTATTGTTTCCTGGGTATACTATATTCCTATACATATATTTGAGCTTTATTATGGGGTGTAGTTATTTTGTCTGGAAGCAGTTGATCTTCTCTTGCTTTGCTCATATGATTTGTTAGGCGAGGGCGGCTCAGTGGTTAATCTAGGGTTGAATATCCCCTTCTACTGTGGTGAGACCTTTTAGAGCTCTCTACCTATTGTCCATGTGATAAAGTTTCAGTCTGGTTGGAGAGTATTGGTGTTAAACTTGGCCCCGTGTGACTGCCAGGTAGCGTAAAGTAACTTCTAAGCCTTTTGGTTGGTTCATTCTCTGGTTTTGGTTGGTGTTCTAATATGTATATGTGTGCACTGGTTCTAACACTACTTTCTCCTTTCCTTGTACCCTGACCTTTCAAAGCAACAGACTGGAATAACTTTAGAGTCATTTTGTTTGTTTCCCATCTTGCAGGTATCACTACGTTTTATTGCTTCATGTTGAGTACCTTAAAAGTCACTGTTTAATAAGTTTTATCCAGGTGTGTGGTTGCTGCAGTTTAGAAGGCAGATCTGTTCCTTTGTACTTTATTTTTGCCAGAAGCATGTCTATTTTCCTGTTTTCAGTCTGGGACTTTAGTCCTGTATCTACTTACCTATTTAAACAAATGGCATTAGACTATACTACATGTATTAAGAGAAATGTATCATAACTTATACATCGTTAGTAATAAGTTAAGACTAATAAATGTCCTTAATATTAGGTAAGAACTTCCAATATGTTTCATTTCTCCAAAACTATGCTTATTGGTAAATAGTTTCATTCAATTAAGATATTTTTAGTGGTGTAATGGAAAAAAAGATAAAAGCATAAAACAAAATAAAATGATGAAAACCATGGATTCTGCAGATAGAAGACCTCACCTAAATCTGGGTTCTGTTTATTGGTAAAATGCTGGGGAAATTGCCTAATGTCTTCAAATCTTTGTTAACTCATTTGTCTATGAGGCTAATTAAATGAGATTGTTGTGGAGATGGCACAGCAATATATACATTAAGCAGCTAACAAATAATAGAGGCCTTGGTTAAATTCCTTCTTCTTATCTCCTTGTAATTATGTATTTTTCAGTGTGCAGGTAATTGTGGATTTAGTTATGGACAAAGGATTACATATTGCATTGGGATCCAGTCTACTAAGAAATATAAGCCCCATCAACTTTGGCCCATAGTCTATCGAGAATGCCCTGTGCTACCTCCCTTTCAGGTTTACAAATGCAGTATTAAAAGCTGTTTGCATGTGACCACTTGGAAAGTTGGCAAATGGAGCGAGGTCAGTGTATAATAAGGAATTTAAAATGTTTTTAAAAAGACTTTCCAGGGTGAAATGATTGGAAATCTGCATGACTAACTAGATCCTAAGAGATCCTGTTGGATCCTTCATGAATCTTGTTGTCTAAAAACTAATTTATCAGCTATCTGTATATATCCTTTATCTCTTTCTTATGCTCGTTATAACTTGCTTATACACTTATGAATTATTTCTGCTCCTTACAAAATCATGAAATCAGTGGCTTGTACTTTACTGGTACTTAAGAAATATTTATTGGTTAATAAAGAAGTAAATAAATCTCAAACATGAGTAATGAGTATTTTTTGAACTACATTATACACCAAAACTAATTGCTGAAAAGAATAAATAAATATCAAACATATGAGTAATGAGTATTTTTTGAACTATATTTTACTCCTAACTTAATTGCTGGAAAGAATAAATATTACTTTGCAAAGTTAGCCTGTAACTGATAGAGGAAAAACTCTTAGTAGTCTTAATAACCATTATTAATTAATGCTTTTTAGGAATTTACAATGTACTATTGATATAACTACAAAAATAAATAAAAAGAAGCTAGTAAGTGAGACATAATAGAATCAGGCTTGTGCCTAAGTAACTTTTTCCTTCTGTGCAGTCTCTTGTGTATTTTTGTATCTTGAGTCATTCTAACCATTACTGATTCTCAGTTTTGACCGTGAGAGAACCTACTTTGAAAAGAGGAAGCATTTACTAGACTTACTACCTGTTAAATATTTTATCTTCAAATTTTACTCTCTCTACAGTGCTCAGTGACTTGTGGAGTTGGGATAATGGAGAGAAGAGTAGAATGCTTGGATGAGAATGATTGGCCCAGTGACTTGTGTTTAAAGCGCTTAAAACCTGATGCTCAAAAGAAGTGTTACATCTATGACTGTAAGTAACAGAATTCAAACTTTATCTAGTATCTAAGAGTTCCAAAGAAGTTTTAGTTTGGGCCAGGGATTTAGCTCAGTGGTTTTGCCGCCTGCTGCGCAAGTGCAAGGACCCAAGTTCGATCCATGGTACCAATAAAAAAAAAAAATATTACTTAATAAGAAGTTTTGGTTAAAATGTGAAAAAAACATACAGAGCAGTCATTTAATTTACAACATGAGGTATTAGATCTTCAGAGTGTACCAATGTTTATGAGTAAGTTCATGCTGTGTTTGTAACTTCTTCAGTGTTGATAAGGTGTGTTAACTTGTCCTTGAAGGTAAATCATTTACCACCTGCAAAGATATCCAAGTTAAAAACAATATTACCGAGGATGGTGACTATTATCTGAACATCAAAGGAAGAATAATAAAGGTATTATGAAAGCAGTTCCTGGTTGATATTAACATTGGTCATTGTCATTGGAAAAAGTTGTCTACATGTTTGTATGTTTTGTTTAGATACATTGTGTGGGCATGCACTTGGAGAACCCCAAGGAATATTTATCACTGGTCAAAGGTGAAGAAGACAACTTTTCTGAAGTATATGGATTAAGGTATTAGCTGTGTTTTGTCCTATTGGTGTATTTTTAGAGCTCTTAAAAGTGAAACTGCTTAGAACCCTGTCAACAGATAAATGGATAGAGAAAATGTGGTATTCATACAAGTGGAATATTATTCCATCATACAGAAGGATTAAATCATGTCATTTATAGGAAAATATATGGAACTAGAGGTCATCTTGTTAAGTGAAATAAGCCAGATTCAGAAAGTTAAATTCCATATGTTTTCTCTTATATGAGAAACATAATTAATTCATGAATGAAAGGAGAGATTACAGGAAAGTAGAAGGTGACTTTTAGCAATGGGGAAGGAGATCACAGAGAGAGGAAAGAAAGGGCCAAGAGGAGTCATGGAATAGAAAAAGATCAAGATATAATAAATGCATGTACGAACTTACCAAAATGAGCCTTAGCCCTATGTATTACCAAAATGGACTAATAAAAAGAAGTTCCAGTCTTCATTGTAGCACTTGAATAGTGCACATTTTTGACAAGTAATTTAGAAGCAGGTGGAAATATTAGGACATAAGCCATCTGTTGTCCATGGCTGTTCAATAATAAGGACCTGGGCAATAACCTGTGCCCATGCAGAGATAGACTAAAAATGTGGGTAAGTGATAGAACAAAAGAGGATGACAAATTTAAGACCCATGTGTATTTTCATAGAGATCAGATTAATTTCAGTAAGAAAAACTAACAACGTTACATTTGAATTATTTTTCTATAAATTGACCTTGAATTTCCCATTGAGAAATTTGTTTGTTAAACTCAAGTGTATCTTACTTTTTTTTTTTAAAGTGGGTATCGAACTCAAAGGCCTCACACAGAGCTACAGCCCCAACCCTTTTTTAATTTCTTATTTTGAGACTGGGTCTACCTGACTCAGTAAGTTGCTTAGTCTGGGCTTGAGCTTGCAATCCTCCTGTTTCAGCCTCTCAAAATGCTAAGATAACAGGCATGCACCACCATGCCCAGATTACTACTTTGTCACTTAACTTGTTGATAATATGATATTGAAGAGTAGGAGTGCATGATTTTTACTTTCTCATTTCTGAAACTTACCATTCATCCACATTAAGGTCTAACCGTTATATTTCATACTAAAAATATTCCAATGTTGTTACAGACTACAAAATCCATATGAATGTCCTTTTAACGGAAGTAGGAGGAAAGATTGCAAATGTAAAAATGACTACCTAGCAGCTGGATACACTGTTTTCAGCAAAATAAGAATTGATCTCACTTCCATGCAAATTAAAAGTAAGTATGAAATCTTTATTTTTAAAACAAAAAAACTCCATATGATATTAAAAATAGCATGTGATTGCCAAGGAACATAATCAATATTCAATAGCTTATTTACAGTTAATTTGCCTGCCATTTAAATTTTATTTATCAAAAAAGTTTTATTTATCCCTACTGCCAATCACTGGGCTGGGGCCCTGAGTGTACAGTATCAAATACAGACACGTTTATCTGGTCTCCCTTTTCTTCTTCAAACTTGTATAGTAAAAAACAAATCTTGATGCAATTAAACCTTTCACCAATTCCACACCTATGCCATGAAACTGTATGTGACAAATAGCACATAGCCCTTCTGACCGATATCACTTTATTTTTATTTATTATCTTTTTTGAGATGGGGCGGTCTCACTATGTTGCCCAGGCTGATCTTGAACTCCTGGGCTCACGTGGTCCTCCTGCCCTCAGACTACAGCACTTTAGGCAAGCATAACCATATGTGACTCTGATTGGTGTCATATTAAAGCCACAACTACGGAGCTCTCCTCAGACCCTTGATGCTACCAAGAAGTAATCCTGTTGCATTTCTCTAGTGCATCCCCCCCTTCCACTTTCCTCATTCCAAATTCAACTTCTCCTCTAGTTTTAAATTTCTAAAATCTTAACATCTCCACTCTATTCCTTGCTGATGATCTTCCTTCCTATTTCACTGAGAAAATAAGAACAACCCAGAGGAAATTTCCACAAGTTCCAACCACCACATCTACCAACCCACTGGAATTTTTACCTGCATACTTTGACTCTTCTCTTATTTGCTGTAGTTGGGTTATTCATGTTCTCATCTAAAGCAAACTCCTCTGCTTATACAAGGTTCATTCCTTGTATCTACTCCAAAACATCAATTCAATACATTTTCATCTTTCTCCTGCATCATTAAATCCTCCTCTTTGCTGAGTCATTTATATACTGAATAGAAAATATGCTCTTTTTTCTTTTTATAATTAAAAGCAAACTCTTTCAACTCTCCTCCCTTACAGCCACTGTCCAATTTCTTTGTGATTTTTTATAGTAAAATTTCTCAAAGGATTTATTACTCCTGCTCTCTAATTTCTCTTTCCCCATCTTGTCCTGAACTCATTCAAATTGGTTTCTTCATGTTACTTCCAGGAAACAGGCTTTATCAAAGTTGTAAGTAACCTCCACATCTCTAAATCCAATAATAAATACTTGGCTTTCATCTTACCTGGTAAAGTAGCAGTATTTGGCTTCCAGGACACCGCACCATCATTGTTGTGTACCTTTCTTGGCTACTCTTTCTCTGATCTTTCTGACTTTTTCTCAGCTTGGGTAACCACTCTTCATCTTCCACAGGATTTAATGTTGGATGCTGCATGTGGTGCTGCATTCCTATAGGTAAAACCTATCAATATCTTTAATTTCTCCCTGTCTCCCACAAACTAAGTCCATCATCATCAAATTACTTCAAGTGAATTTTTAACATGCATACTACAATGGGCTGAATTGTGCCTCTCCAAAATTTATATATTGAATCCTTAACACCCGATATGATGGTACTTGGAGATGGGAATTTGGGATTTATTTAGATTTTAGGGTCACAAGGATAGGTCCCTCAAAATGAGATAAATGCCCTTTAGGGCATGTAGAAGAAGAGATACCAGAGCTCCTTCACTACCATATAAAGACAAGCAGGATTTGCAAGTCAGTGAAATAATCTTCACCAGAATCCAACCATTCTGACTGTTTGATCTTAGACTTCCAGCCTTCAGAACTGTGTGAAATAAATGTCTGTTGGTTAAGCTATCCAGTCTGTGGAATTTTGTTATGGCAGCCTAAAGTGTTTCCAATATACGACAAATCTCATACTAGCTCACTTGCTAACACTTGGTCCAAGTCTGCCTAACAGTTGATATTCCTGCAGAGTATTGCACCACTCTCTCTGCTTCTGATCTAGATTCTCTTCTCAACAGATAAGGCAGAGTGATCTCATGAATTATATGATGTGTCATGTCTTGTAGATTATTTCATTTGATCTTTTAATCCTGAGCTCTGCTCAAAACTTTTCAGACATTTCTCATCTAACTCAATGAAACCAAGAATTATTTCACTGATCAACAAAACTCAACATGATCTCCTCACTGCCTTCTTCCTACTCTCCTTGCACACTGTGCTCCAAACACACTGGGTCTTTGCTGTTCCTTGAGCACGAGGCCTTTGCCTTTACTGTTCCATCTTCCTGGAACACTCATCCCACCATTCTCTATGTGGTTTACTCATTCATCTTTGAGGGCCTTTGCTGAAATTCACCTACTTAATAAGTTAAATTCCCTTTCTTCAAAATTCACTTCCCTGCTGTATTTTTTAATCATAGCAATTGTCACCTCTAACATACTCCAACAGCTACTTTATTGTTTCTCATTCTCTGATAGGATTCAGCCTGTTTTTCATCACTGTTGTGCTCCAAGTATTTACGAGTGTCCAACATAAGATAAGTGGAAAGTCACTATTTTTTGAATTAGAAGTCTTTACTTTCCTCAAGAAGCTTTAGGGACAGCTATTTAGAACAATTTTGAGGACAAATTCAAGTTAACCAAAAAGTGTGGGAAGGTAGTTTCAGGTAGAGAGAAAAGCATGAATAAAGTCATGGAAGGGAGAACCATCTTCGTGATTTCAGAAGATAAAAGTCATCTAGTTCATGTAAGCATGACTTGAGTGGAGGCTGAGGGACAGTAGCTTATTAGAGAAGTTCCTTTGGAGCAGGTCATGAAGAGAAATGTATACTAGTGACAGTGATCCTCCTTATGGTATTCGTGAAAAAAAGAAACCAAATGTTATTATTCAGGAAGACAGTGATACGGGGATCATTTTAGGGTACTAGGTCAGGAACAAAAGCTATTTCAAAAAAAAATATTAAAGAGGTAACTCTAGAGAATTTTCTGATGGAAGGAATGTGGAAAATAATGACGTGGACTTTTTAGAAAGATTTCCAAAATAACCAAATGGCTGGTTGTATATAGATCAGTGAGACTGGAAATAAAGTGGGGGAGATAAATTTGAAGAAGCAGTTTATTCTTTTAGCTTGCACATATTAAGTTAGAGATACTTGTGGGTCATCCAATAGTGATGCCTTATAGGAGTGTGATATTTGTGCTGGAACTCATCAGAGATAAACAGAGTGGATATATACTCAGGAGTCTTCATTGTATAACTGGTTTATGAAAGTGATGCTGTTGGCTGGTCATTATGCTTTTGGAGGAGATAGCAAATCATACTTTGAAAGCTGTGTCTCTGCTCTGATCTAGCCTAACTTGCAAGTGCAGTGCACATGAATTGTAGTATTTGTCAATTTCCATGTCATGCATATTCACACTATGGCCAATTATAAGCCATCAACACCACTTGATTATACATGAATTTAGGGAGAGATGCACAAAATTAGCTTTCACTGTGTGGCACTCTTTTATTCTGGCACATCATGGGTACCTCCTAGTTTTGCTAACTGTCCACGGAATAAGGTAGATATTTGCAGAAATGCTACCTTTGGGGATTGCCTCCAGAGAACTGGTGGCATCATGGGGAATGACATGATCTTTCAATTTCTCACAAAGTAAAATGATTTGAAACAACAACTCAGTGGAAGTGAGAACCACTGTCTGAATAATTTGGTTAGGATATTATTTAAGTGATTCAGGCATGAATAAATGACTGGAACAGCTGAATTTTAGGATCCTTTCCAACCTGTTTTTGAAACAATGATTATAGTTTTGATAGTTTATGTAGACTCTCCATTGCTATTACCAGTCCAGAAATTTTGGTAGCAAAATAAAAAATAAGATGAAAAGAATAAAAATAATAATATATTTTAATAACATAAGATATCAAAGAAAGTGGTACATGTTTTTGCTTGGTGTTTTTGGATTGCCCAAATCAATTGTTATATATGCAATATAAGTACTCATATATTGCTTTGGTATAATTTATCTACCTTTAAATAATTTTTTTCTTCTGTATTTTTGCTTCCAACCCCATTTCTTTTATTTTAGGTATGTGCTGTAAGATATAATAAAGCATTTATTTAGTTTTAAATCTTCTGTTTCAATTACAGATGTACTTGTCATTTTTGAAGGCAATTTATGAGATGAATATTTTTATATTAAAGAAAATTTATTCATTGGCAGACTATTCTATCTTATGGACTATAATTATGAAAACCTTTTTTCTTATACTTTTGAGCTAATTATACAAATATATTTAAGACAATAACAAGAAAACTGCATATCTGACATTATTGTCCCAATGCTATAAAATATAACTTTTTTATTTTCTAGCTACAGATCTTCTTTTTTCCCAGACACTAGTTGGAAAAGCAGTTCCATTTGCCACAGCTGGAGATTGCTATAGCGCTTCCAGATGCCCACAGGTATTTCATATTTATTTGATTATTTTTCTTTTTCTTTGAAAAAAAGATAATGTTTATCTTCATTCACTTTCTTGATCAGATTATTGCAAAAAACAGAATTATATATAATTTCCTATATATATAAAGATATATATAAGAAAGTATATATATATATATATATATCTTCCTATATATGTACTTTATTTCAAAGATTATAGATAAACATTAGAGGAAAAATATCTTTGCCAATACTAGGTTTATTTGAAAGATATTAATAAGAACTTTAGATTTTTCAGATCCTGTTTCTCCTTCTGTAATATATTTTTAATTTTTCCACTTAGTTCATGGAAATGAATGGGTATTCATTAAATAGTAAAGGAACAGATCATAAACATGTGACTTTCATACACTGTACAAGCATCAGTTACATCAGCCATCTGGGTCTGTGTCATTCTGCTGTAGTTTAGATGAGTGTCCCCCAAAGGTCCATGGGGAAAGGCTTTGGTATGCAGGGTGGAATATCAGAGGTGCTGTGAACCCTTAGGAGGCAGGGCTGGCCTAGTGGGAGTTCCTTAGGGTATGGGGGTACATCCTAGAAGAAGACTGTGGGGCTCAGCTCTTGCTGCTTCCTGGCCTGTGGTGTCAGCATGCCTCCATGATGCCTTCACCAGAGGCCTGAGCATATGGGACTTCTTATCTTGGTTTTGAACCTCCAAAGCTATGGGCTAAAATATTCCTTTTCTCCCTAAAAAGTTAATTGACTCAGGTGTTTCATTATAGTAATATGAAACTGACTAATACAAATTCCAAAAGTTATATTTTATTACCTATGAAATGTACAGACAGTACATTTCTATGCTTTTGTTCTTGTTTTCATCCTTTATTTCTGGAGTCCTCCTCACATAACCTGGATGTCATTTACGTGGTAGAGTGTGGTTTCTAGGAGAAAATTTACTCTCTCATTTTATAAAAGGTACTTTATATAGTTTATACAAACAATATTTTTATAATAAGGTGGGAAATTGTAAGCCAGGTGACTATACCAGTTTTCAGTAGATTCATAGATAACTGGATCGAATCTACCACCTGTGGTAGTAACTAATATGTTGATTTCATTTTGAAGAGAAATACCTGTTGGTTTCCACAACCCCCTCTTCTTGGAATTTTCCATTCACAGTTTCACCATCTGACACAAAACTTATGTTTTTCTTATGATTAGAGGATATTTTCTATATTAGAGAAGACTTAAAATGATCAAGAGACATTGAAATTACAGGATGAAACAAATAAGAAAGATTTAACTGGAATAAATGTGCACATTTTAACTTAGGTTCAGAAATTCAAATAGAACCTGGCAATTTTGTGTGAAAGACCCCTGGGTGTTTTATTTCACCACCAAGATTTCCATGGGACTCAGAGGAGAGAATGATTTATTATTGGCCAGGTAAAATTATAAAGTACCGAAACACTATACAATATTAGGCCTTAAAATTTATTTATAACTGACATTGGAATATCATTCACTTTTAAATTTCTGCCTGTAAAAGGTAATTTTAATCTAGTTAGGAGTAGGAAGAGATTATTAAGGATAAAAAGGAGAATTTAAAGAAAACAAAGAAAGTAGTCTGAAAACAAATGAGAGGTTAAAATAAATATCTTTAAATATTTAAAAAGCAAGAATGAAAGAAGAGTGAGGCCATGTATGCTACTTTAGAAAAAATGAACAGGGCAAGAGACTCTTACTCAATGTGAAGAATTGTCCAATAAAGGGAATTCGAAATCTGGAGCCCAAACAAATCATCAATATTTGTCTATATTTTTACAGATTGATCTTGAAAGATATTGTTCTATCATTTTCTTCTCTTATGATGCCTTCCTTTGAGTATTAGGGAAAAATTTACCTCATAGAATGTACAGTGGACCCTTAACTTATGAACTCAATTCATTCGTGAGGGCTGGTTGTAACTCAAGCTGCTTGCACGTCAAGACTATTTTTCCCATAAGAAATAATGAAAATATCCATAATACATTCTGAACTTCCCAAAGAAGCCCTTAACCAATCTTTTCAGAATAAAAAGTGTTGTGTAATGTGCATAATTTACCAGAAACACCAATAATTTTCCTAGTGTATTCACCAAAAAGTTGTAAAATGTGCCTAGTTTACCAGAAACAACAATTTCATACTATACTCACCATTCAAGTTGAAATCTTTGGCTTGCAAGTTAGGGAGGATGAAATGGAAGGTAGTTATTACTTGGAAGGAGAGTCCTCTTCTGTAAGTACATCAGGAATCTGGCTCTCTGGTGTCCTTTCTCTCCTTGGGAGGGTCTGTAACCCACTAGGACCTGCTTCTGGCTCCCTAGGTTTCAATCTTTTCAGAACTAAAAACTGGTCTAAGGTTGTCTGTTTCTGTCTTTTCTTTAACACTGTCCTGTAGATATTGTCATTAAGCAAGTGAATGCAACAATTAGCTTTTTCTCTGTCTCGGTAGGTCTTCTCTACAAATGTTTGTAGCTCTGTCCATTTTTTCTGGATTTCTTTTATTTCAGAAGAACTTTGCTGCAGTGAATGTTGATACTCCCCTTCCCCTTCCCCATTCTCTGTTGCTCAGCCAGAAGTTGCTGAAGTTCCTCTGTAGATAGTTTCTCTGAGTGTTCCTCCACCAGTTCCTCAACATCACCACTGTCTACCTGCAAGCCTATGGACAATGTCATCAACCACAGGGTCAATTGAAGGCTCAGGCTCCTCTACACAGCCTTCAAAGTCTCTCTCTCTCCTGTGTAATTTTAGGCCACACTTTCTTCCAGGAAGATCTCAGTATCCTTAGAGACATTGGCCCAGGATTTCTCAATTAACCCCACACAAGAAAGGATGTTGTATGTTCCTTCCAGAACTCTTTAAGGGTTAAATCTGTATCTGAGATCATGTGGAAGATCATGAGAATTCTTCAGCTAATTCTTCTTCCAAATCTTGTGGGTGAGAAGTGTTGTCCATGATGAGGAGAGCCTTAAAAGTCCTCTACATATTTCTTAACAGTAGGACAGAGAACCTCCTTGATCCACTCAAGAAAAAGCACTCTTGTTACCTAGGCTTTTGCATTACATCTCCACATGAGCCCTAGCCTATTCTTCATGACTATGTTTCCTGAACACTCTAGGGGTCTCAGTGTGATAAACCAAGATAGGCTTTATCTTGAGATCACTACTTGCATTGGCACATAGCAATAAGCTTAGCCTATTCTTTATAGGCTTGTGGCCCGGCATTTTCTTCCCTTCCTGGGTAATGTATGTTGTCCTGGGCATTTTATTCCAGAAAAGGCCAGTTTCATCACAGTTAAAAACTTGATGAGCATAAAAGCCATTTCTCTGTGGTGCATGTAATATTTAGCAGCCCTTTTATCAGCACTGGCTGCTTCACCATGCCTAGTTATGCTATGAACAGCAGCTCTCACTTAAAAACTGTGAAAACACCCCATACTGGCACAAAATGTTTCATGATTATCACTCATTGATGTATTATTTTTTATGAGATCTTCATTTATAGTCCTAGCTTTTTCACAAATTATAGACTCAGATAGGCTATAATCTGACATCTGACTTTCATTTATGCATACTGATAATAGCCTTTCTACCTCATCTAACACTGTTGATTGTGACTTAATAATTTCAGTAACACTTTTAGCAATGCTAGCTTCCTTATACAAGTCTTTTCTCTGTAAGATTGTTGAGATGGTGGATTTCAACATGCTGTACTTAATAGTGAGATTTGTCACACAAATGTCACTCTCATATTTCTCCACATTTCCTTCTTTTTGATTGTGATTTCTTTCTTTACCTTCCTTTTCTTCCTTAGCTTCTTTTCTAGCTTTTTTGTGACCATTTTGATAGCAGTTATTGTAGCAATTGTATAAAGCACTGACCAAAATCTCATCCACAAACACATGAATCTGGGCTTAGACTGATGCTTAAATACACTTACATACACTTTTCTGGCATCATGTGTCTTTGTTTACAACCACACAAGCAGCTAGCATTCAGGTTGTAACTCAAGATATTGGTCATAAGTTAAAAACTAAAATTCTGGTCATAACCCAAATTGCTTATGTGAGGCCAGTCGTAACTTGAGGGTCCACTGTACTGGGAAGTTGTTTCCCTTGCTACTTTTTTTAGAAGAGTTTATGAAGAATTTATTCTTTAATCTTTAGTAGAATTCATGAGTACAATAATTTGATCCTGTTCTTTTCTTTCTTAAATTTGATTTAATTACTATTTCAACTTCTATTTATTATAGTTCTATTCAGATTTTCTAGTTCTCCTCCTCTCTCCTCTCCCCTTTCTCCTGTTTTCTCTCCAACCTCCTTCTTTCTGCCTTCTCTGCCTCCCCTCAAAGGTTTATCAGGTTAGTTCTTTAAAACAAAATCTTTGGGATTTGTTCATTTTGCTCCACTGTTTTCTAGTTTTTAGTTCATGGATTTTCACTCTGCTCTTTTTCATTTCTTTCCTTCTGCTTCCTTTAGGTTTAATTGGCTGTTCTTTTTTGAGTATCTTAAGGTGGAAGTTAGATTTTTGATTTGAAACATTTTTCTTTTTAAATATATGCATTGATAGCAATAAATTTAATTTTAAACACTTGTTTTGCTGCATCTCGGCAGTTTGGGTATATTGTTTGTTTATTTTCATTCATACTAAAGTATTTTCTATTATGATTTGTGATGTCTTTTTTGAATCATTGGTTACTTAAGAGTCTGGTGTTTAATTTCCAATATTGTGAATTTCCTTCTGTTCTTTATTTTTGCTTTCATTCCACTATAGTTGGAAAAAATATTCTGTATTATTTCAATCTTTTTACATTTATAAAGCTTGTTTTATGATGTAGCATATGGTTTATCTTCAAGACTGTTCCATGTGTGCTTGGAAAGAATGTGTATTCTGTTGTGGATGAAGTGTTTTATATGCTACAGGCTCTTTTGATTTACAGTGTTCACTTCTACTCCTTCTTTGTTGATCTTCTGTTTCATTGTC